CGCCATTGAAGTTGAATCTCTCCCGCCATCACCACCAAGGAGGAGTAAACGTCGGCAAGAGCCAGTTAACGTCCCTGTGCATGTACGAGAAGATGTGGCACTTCCCCACCCATACGAGTATGGATTCCCTCCCGCAAGAAGGGAATTCGGAGAGGGATCATCAGCTTTTGAAATGTCGTATGCACCAGCGCCACTTCCACCCTAGCTCCTCGGGCAGGTCGTAGAAAGCATGTCTAATTCCATGGTGTCGATCAGAAAGTATGGCAATGTCCTTCCGTTGAGTGACACGAGTGTATAGTTGGGAAAAAAACCATGCCCAACTTAAGTTGTTCTCCGATTCGACTATAGCAAAAGCAAGGGGGAAAAGTTGCCTACTGCCATCAACACTAGTGGCAACGAGTAGAGTGCCCTTGTATTTGCCGGTCAGAAAGGTGCCATCAACTTGGATTATTGGCAGACAATGGGTGAAACCATCAATGCATGGTTTGAATGCCCAAAATAGTCTCTTAAACATGCGTTTAGTACCTTCATAGAAATCTTCGTAACTAGGCACAAAAACAGACCCAGGATTCTTGTCCTCCATTGCAAGAATCAAACGAGGCATGTTAGCAAATGACTCTTCCCAATCACCATACACCTCTGCCATAGCTTTTTGCTTCCCATGCCATGCTTTCTTGTAACTGATGGTATAGCCATGTCGATTCTTCACTTCAGCGATGACACTCTTCACGGTGATCCCAGGTTGTGCCTCAATCAGATGTTTGATTGTTTGTGCAACCTTCCTTGCACTCAATTGTCGATGATCTAGAGAAATCAGTGACGACCTACAAGTGTGGTTGTTGTCTGTTTTACGAATGAGCCAAGCCCCATTTCTTTTAACATATGCCGCCCGAACATGCCACATGCATCCGTCGCCATGGTTCTCGCAACGAACATGAATTTGTTTAGTGTCAGAAGTGATGACACGATATTGAAAGCTTCTTCTCATAGCAGTTTCTTTCAATGCATCGACCACCTGTGGCTTTCCTGCAAATGTTTGGCCAACCACGAATCCAGAGTCAGGAGTCCAGATTGGTATAGGAGGGAGGTCAGGATCGTCGTTGTGAGCATAGAGAGGATGTTGTGGCACCATCGTGTAGTGAGGTGTGGGAGGCTCAAATTCCCCCTCGTCAATTTCCAGATCTTCACCATCTGAACTACTCATTGATTCTAACTCTTCATCTTCCACGTCGCTTGCCTCGCTAGTGTACGGAGGACTTGGTTTATCCACATATGGATCATTGTTGATGCCAGATGCTGGTGTAGATGCTTGTCTGGGTGACTGTCTGAGTGCCCTTATGTAATTCCATTCTTCACCCCATACTGGCCACTCCTGTCCGTCATGTTCCACCAATGGACCAGTTGCAGTTCGATCCTCGTATGTTGGCCATGGTGCATCATGCCGCACTCTGAAATCTCCTGAACCGGAAAAACCTCCCGATCCTTCACCTTGTTCGGTATAACCGCCCCCACCATATTGGCCAACAACTTCTGTCTCGACATACACCTCAGCAGTTGAAAATCTGTTCTCTGCAATAAATCTCACCATCATATTAACATCATCATCGTCAGACAAAACGGATCCTTCATATACAAGTGCATAATCCTTGTAAACCGGCATACGGTAAGTCATCTTGCATACTCTTCTCCCTCCTATGCAACATCGTTCCGCACAAATATGATTGAGTTCTTGCCAAGTAAATATGCTCTTAATCGGGACAGTACTTGATTCACCATCTTCGTAGTCAATACTATCATGAAAATGTGTAATTCGACCATTCCACCGAATCAATAAGTCGAATTTTCGAAAATTTCTACCCATTTCTGCAGTTTATAGAAGCAGCTCATTACATACAGTACAAACAATTCTAAATTAATCCAAAATTCTAATATGCTCATTCAAACAACGTAAGCAGAACTTACCTCCAAAAATTTTCTTCTTTGCTCAGCTATGGTGCTCCAGCTGCTGCAGTTTGTGTTTGGAAGAAAGAAGATAGAAAGTAAAAGAGCTGCCAGAATGTGCTAAGTGATGGCTTTTTATCATCGTAAACTGATGCAGTGGTTCGAGTCCAACAAGCTCGATCTACCCTAGTTCGAGTCCAACAAACTCGATCTCCCGCAACCAATAATTTTACCCCCTGCACCCTATTCTGGAGCATGTCGGACCGAAAGCGATTGGACAGAATGATTGAGCAGTGGTTCGAGTTTAGCATACTCGAACCACACTAGTTCGAGTCCCTAAAAATCGATCTACCCAACAAAGAATCTTATCCCTGCAACCCTATCCTGACACTTCGGTTGACTAGTGGTTCGAGGACATGTGGATCGATCTAATGGGTTCGAGTTTTAGGTCGTCGTTCTTGTGCAGATTTTGATCGAGGATTGTAAAATCGATTCACCGGATCGAATTTGTTGGCATCGATCTAGCTAAATCGAGTTTTGAAAACTCGAACTGTTCTGATCGAGGTTACCCGACTCGAACTACTAAGATCGAGGTTACAAGAATCGTTCTAGTCTGATCGAGTTGTCGAAACTCGATCTACCCTTGATCGAGGTTTACAAACGCGATGTGGTCTTAGTTCGAGTGTTTTGTCATCGAACTGTGTAGTTGTTCGAGTTTATGGAACTCGAACCCCTTGAAACTTGGGTATTTTGGGAAAATTTTATAAAAGTTATGTATTATGGGAATTATGCTTAATTTTTGCTGTATTCTGGGAATTCTTCCGTTTTTACGCAACAAACTAAAACTAGACGAGAGCCACATCATATGGGTAAACAAAATAAATGACAACTCCTCCATTCCGTCTAATTTTTTCCTTCATAAATCAGAGAGCTTAATTGGTCACAAAAATTGTCGAGAAGGACTTCTTTTCACTTAAGCTGGGAATGGGCTTTGTACTCAACAACTGCGACCACACCGTAGAATAGGCTTCATCAGGGCCCAATGGAAAGGGGAAGAGACTGGATACACCCATTCGCCATAGTTTACGTCGGTTAACACTTCTTCGACGAACATCTGGTTAGGACTATCAGAGGAATGCTGATGGAAAGGGGAAGGGATTGGATATACCTTATAATGATGACCATCACCGGATCCTCCATCTGTGACGCCTCCGCTCGTACCGTCAGTCGTCTCCTTCTCCGACTTATCAACCATTATTGAAACTCAGCCGAATCTTCAGTTCAGCTCTGATACCATGTAAAGAAACTAAAGCGTAAAAGAAAAGACACTCGAGTTTACGTGGTTTTCCCGTTCTGTGAAGAATTGAGACTACTCCACGGAAAACTCCATAAGGAGGTTTCGGTTTTCTTTTATTATTGACTTTGCTACTCTCTACATCAAGCTACTACTCGCATCAACCAACAAAAGGCACATATATATGCCCTACAACAGCCGTAGGGTTGCAACATACAAACCTAAAACGAAATAGTTTAGGGAAAATTACAATCCCCTCCCTAAACTATAGCACTATTACAATATAAAGTAGTTGTTAACTTTGAGAATTATGAAAACTCTAATACATGCTACCACATTTTGGTCTGGACATTTTGATATCACATCAAGAATAAATTTATCGTAAAAATGTGACTAGTTTGAATAAATCCAAACATTAATTTTATATCGCTACTTAAACATCTTGAACTATAAAATGTGGGTTAAGAAAACAACCATACGAGATAGAAGAAAAAAACTTCTAACCCTCTTTATCCTAGTGAAAAGAGAAAATTGTCTAATCGACAAATTGGCCTGGCATATGGTTAACAACGAAACTGATCTTTGGGTCCAAGTCTTGCAGGGTAAATACTATAAGCAGAAAAATGGAAACATCATTTCCATGAAGAAAACCAATCACTCTTGTCTGTGGAGAGCTGTGGTGAAAGCCATGCCCCTTATGAAGGAAGCTTCCTGTTGGAGCATTAGAAATGGTGAATCAACAAGCTTCTGGCAACATCCTTGGATTGAGAATGGACTGGTCCTAGAGGATTACCTGATCAAGGAGATCACTGATGAGGAAAAACAAACCCCTGTGGCCTACTGGGTTACAGAAGAAGGTGAGTGGAAATGGGATGAACTGAAAGAACTTCTCCCTGAGGACAAACTTTTGCTTGTTGCAGGAATGGAGAGACCAAGAACAGAGCTGGGGGAGGACAAGATGATCTGGGGACTTGAGCGAGATGGGAGATTTCGACTTAAGTCTGCCTACTTCCTTGCAGCCAACATGGAGAATGATGAAGAAGATGAAGGAGGATCATGGAAAGCTCTATGGAGGTGGAAAGGACCCAATAGAATCAAACACTTCCTGTGGCTTGTCCTCCACGACAGAATCTTCACCAACAAGGAACGAGCTAGGAGGAACATCTCCACCAACAGCAACTGCAATCGTTGCACTGATTGTGAGGAATCAATTGAACATATCCTGAGAACCTGTGATAAGGAAAAAAGGATATGGGAAATTTTTCGAAACAAGCTTTCAAGGATTGACAGTAGATGCAACTTCCAGGAGTGGCTCCTCTCTAATCTTCTGCACGAAGATAAAGGGGTTGATTTTGGTGTGATCTGCTGGAGCCTTTGGAAGCAACGCAACGAGGAAATCTTGGATGGCAAGAATTACAATGAAACTAGTCTAAAATGCAGAGTGGAGGCCTGGCTCAACATCATTCAGCAAGTTAGGGAAAGGTCTGAGTTGGACTGTTGTAATTCGACGAAAAATTACAAGAATGAACCAGTGCATTGGCAAGCACCTGAGGAAGGTTGGATGCAACTTCAGACTGATGGCTCAGTGATCTCCCCCTCTGGGAAAGCTGCTGCGGGGGGACTGCTGAGAGACTGTCTGGGACGCTGCACTGATGCGTTCACTGCCAACCTTGGATGCTGTTCCATTACAAGTGCTGAGCTGAAGGGAGCGATCGAGGGACTTCGGATTGCGTGGGAAAGGGGCTACAGGAAAGTTCAACTCAATATGGACTCTACTGCAGCCATTGATATTGCTTTGAAATGCTTGGATGATGACCATAGACATGGTATCCTCGCGAGACAGATTCAGGTTCTCCTCAATAGAGATTGGGAGGTTCGAATTAGTCATGTGTATAGGGAAGCTAATTTTGCGGCTGACTTCCTTGCTAATAGGGGTCACCTTGTTGATTTTGGCACACATCGATTCAATGTGTGCGACCCTGAGTTGGGTAGATGGCTTTTGTACGATATCATGGGCATTGCTCACGATCGTTCGATTATTTCTTTAATGAGTTAGACGCTTGACGCCATCCCTTTTACCAAAAAAAAAAATGTAAATTAAGAAGAAAAAAATATTTTAAAGTAAGTCATAACAAGTCTAATGATGCATCCTCCAACACCCACCAGACCTCTAAGCAAATTTGCCCTATTTATTATATACTAATTAATTAGTGGGTGGAAAACAATGTGATATGTCGCAATTTTGGGAATGAAAAATGAATAGATGATATAGTAACAATCAGCTGAAGGCTTGTAATCAACAATCATGAACAAAGAAAAAACAAGCCAAATTTCCGGACGTGATAGAATACCAACCGTGGCAAGAGCTCAACCCTTCTTTATCACAATTATATAGTTTAGTAGCAAAGGGTGACAATCCACATGCAAATTCAAGCCATCAGACAAACAATCAATTCATGGGTTTTTTCGGAGTTGTATAAGTGAGTGTATGCATGTTATGTAGCTCGCTATGCACACATTTAGGTTTTAGAAGAAGCATGAATTAATGAAGCAATGACTTCTAAGTTCTAATGTTGGGGAAATTAGACACAAGATAGCCCTACTTTCTTCGTTAATCCCAACATTCCCGTTTTGATCATTTCCTGAGAGGCTAACATGTATCCTCTAAGAGATTGCATGCGCATTCTTATTTTCCTTTTGGGCAAGCAAAACGCTATAATGTGAAACTATAATGCTTCGAGTTACATCGTGTTGAAATATAAAATTAGATAAGTTTAGATTTAGAGTTGGAATCAATCGATTTGTCAATAATATGCAAGTCGTAAAAAGAGAAAATGTCACTGATCGATGATTGAGGTAATCATTCATGAATTATCTTCCAAACTGAATCATTATATAAGTGTCCTAATTTCTTATTTCACTTCTCAGTGGCGGACACATGAGAGTTTGGGGGAAATTATTGACCACTTTGTTTGTAGTTGAATTTAGGGTAGGGGCGGGTTTATGATTTTTATGGGTGTTCGAGATACCCATAAAATTTGTGAAAAATAGAGTATAATATTATGCCCAATTCTAGTTAATTCATAGTATAAATAACAAAACTCTATGGGTATATGATATGGTAAGCGTACGCTTAGTGTACCGTACCAGCCCTCCGACTAGAAAAACCTCTTACTGGAGGTAAAACCGCCATGAGGTATTTAGTGGTATGAAATGGTGGAATCCCAATCAAACAACGATTTTAATATAAAATACTTCAACGCTGACTTTTTCGTTACAACCTAAAATCTAGGGTACGACATACCCTGAGTAAGAAAATGCTATTTAGACCTTGAATTAACCGGATGTTTAGGCATGATACTATACTCTAACCCTTGATGAGTGAACTCTAGGACTTAGTTATCTAAATCATACAGCCTAACCCCTAAGATTATGCATGTAATTTTTTTGCATATATTTCGACTAATCATGACCGTCGATTTTTGTTTCTTATTAAATAGATCTCAGTGTATGAAATCTATATAAACCGATTTAATTCAAGGTCTAGATATCATTTTTATAGGTAGTAAGCTACAATGATCTTATCTTCTTTTCTATCCATTTAAAGGGTAAAAAAAATAGTTCATTCTCATTCTCATCCAGCTGTTCTTTGTAGGTCATACCACATAAATATTCGAACTACCCCCTTCAATACAGAATTGACAAAATTCTGAACTACCCTGTTGGGGAAAAAAGGACCAGTCTACAGCCAACTTGATCCACTGTGGTAGTAAGCATTCAAGACTATTTAAGATGGTCATTGCTGCAACATAATCAGAGGGCAGATGTAGGAACTGGACCAAAACTTTTAACTATTTCTATATCATACATAGCAAAATTATGTTTTGCTTATAAAGTGGGTGCATAACCGCATGTATTCTAATTGGAGCATGGTAATATGTTTTAGCGAGAAAAGTCGTCTACATAATATCTTAATATCTTGTATATTCAAGCAGTGGTCAAATAGTCGATAATATAACTATACAAGTACTACTATATATCATATTTACGGTTGGGAATAATTCACAAAACAAAATTTTCTGAGACCCATAAAAGAGACAAATTAATACTTATAATTCACGTACCTTTAATCATACAACAACGCATCACCGAGACTATGTAGACATAGAAGCATAATCTAGTGATTTGTGTTAATAAGGTGTACGAGCTTAATTTCATGATTATACAATTAAGGGTGCAGCCAAAACAATGTTTGGTTTGAAACTGCTTAAAATGTTAAAAATAATATCGATTGCGACCTTGACGAAGTACCCTTTTCTAACAAAGTGAGAAAATAAAAGTCACATGAGGAGTCACCATTATTAGGAAAATAATAATTGGTTAGACTGAATCATGGCTATGGTGACACTTTTTATTATTCAAATTTTGCGACTTATTATTGTAGTGTTCTTTTTGAAACTACACCCTTTAGGTTAGGTAGCATAGTTCTCGCACTGACATGTGCTTATAGCAAATACTTAGATTGGCTTGATAATTAACATTCTTTTATTCCTCTACAAAGATTACTTCTATAGTTGTATTGCATCCACTTATTCATTCAACTCTCGATTTGACTAAATTAATCATGTGAATTGTATATTAAATGGCGTTGATGAGTGACACAAAGATGTGTTGGAGAGGAAATCTGATTAAGGTAGAGTGAGAGTTTGTGCTTTGTAGCATAACTGATTTTGGGTATGTAATTTTTGTCTTTCTAAGTATGCGAGTTTAGAATCAGTGCAGTGCTTAAAGATATAGGGTAAGAAAAGTAGAAAACCTTACAATATGCCATTATTGTTAACTGTCATATGGTTGTTTTCTCCATAAATGCATGCAAACACAGTTTTTCAGAATTCTTGTGAACATAAATTTTTTTGTACCTATCATTTTATGTCATTGACTACTTTTCAACGACGTAATTCATCTCCCGATCGTTAGAGTAAACGGTCAAATTCATAAAAAAAAACATTTGAATGTTAGAACCTGTTGGGCATAGGACTCGGGCCTAATCACGCCAAGGAACCGGGCGCAACTGAATAAGACCCCAACACGGCGGTGCAAAGACCCCGAGTGTGCCGCCTCATCATGGCTAACCACGTCCCGGCGCGAAGAGATGACATGCGCTAGGGGAGGACAAGCGTAGGCCAAACCAGAAGATGAGGGAAGTGCACCTCTTCCAAGCGAGTAGTCACATCAGGGCTATGAGTAGATCTCTGACGCATCCTAGGTAGAGGAATGGCCTAAAAACCTTAGTGTGCTAGTGGTCACATCATTGGTCACATCATTGTATCCCAGTAGTCACATCACTGTATCTCTCCCTATGTCAACCACTCACCCACCACCATGAAGCCTATAAATATGGCATTTACTACGGTGGGTGAGGGGATCGATTTTTCACCATTCTCTCTCTATAACTATTACTTCTCTTTCTAAAAGTTGGGACTCCGGTCCTCGCTCAACTCTCTAATTCCTATCTCCCTGATCAAACTTGACGCTTGTGTTTCTTCTTGACCCAAACTCTCATTCGAACCTCACTCCTACACTCAGTTAGGTTCAAACAATTGGCGCCCACCGTGGGGCCAAGAAGAAACGCTAAAGAAAATCCCCCGATGGCAGAGCACAACCACGACCAACCTGACCAAGCAACACCAATCAAGGCAATGACTGACCCGAGGACGTTCGCGGAAGCCAGCAACCTCAACGCCGTGCTCATTGAAGAAGAAGAGCCCGAGCTGACGGCAAAAGAAATGAGGGATCTAGTGAGAAAGCAAAACAACGTCATAGCCGACATGCAGAAACAAATGAGCCAAGTTATCGCGCTCATGATGAGCAGGGATAGCGCGCCAACGACCGGTGCGGTGGCGGACGCGCCTCAACGAACCTTGGCGGTAGCGCCACAGCAAGCTTTGGGAGAAACGTCGGGGACAGCCCAGCCACCCCAACACGGGGCGACGGAACTCCCCGCGTGCGAAGCGCCGGGAATCGAGCCACCAGAGCGGGCGGACCTCAGCTTCTTAGAGCAACACCTGTCCCCGCAGTACCGACCCAACCCGTCCAAAAGAGTCCTTCACCAGCCGCTGAGCGCACAGATAATGGCGGAGAACCTAACAGGAGCGACGCCCGCCCTCCCGACATACAACGGCACGACCGACCCGGAAGACCATGTAAGCACTTTCTGCCTGCGTATGCAACTCCAAACCAACTCCAACGCCGCGCTATGCAGAACCTTCCCGTCGACATTCACCGGCATATGCCTCGACTGGTACAACCGCCTCCCAAATGGAATCATCCACTCATTCGAGGAGTTCATACTCCTGTTCACAACGAAGTTCGCGTCCCAGAAACGGCGCCCGCTTCACCTCAAGGCCCTGATAGATATCAGGCAAAAGGATGGAGAGAGCCTGAGAACTTTCTATGCCAGATGGTCCAGGATAGCAATGGCCGTCCGCGACCTCACCCCCGAAACAGCCGCCCATCACCTCATGGAGGCCACCAACAATATGGAGCTCAAGCGGGCGTTGGCCAAGAGACCCGTCACGCTGTCGACGGAGTTGGAGATGAAGATCGAAAAGGCGATCACGTTGGAAGAAACCCTGGGGGCAGGGTCCGTCAGGCGCTTCGAGCCGGCGAAAATGCCGCGAGAAGAACAGGCGCGTCGTCAGCCTCCAGCCGCAATCCCACGAGACCACTTGCTACAGATGCACAGTGGCCCGAAGCGGGCCCCTCCTCCCCCACCAGAGCAGGCGCAACGCGGGCGATCGCCGGACAGGCGCGCGCATAACGCCTACACTCCCCTTAATGACTCAATGAGGAATGTGTTCCATGTCCTTCGCGAGAAGGGTTACAAGATCAACTGGCCTGCCCCGTTGAAATCCCAACCCTACATGCGCGATCCAAATAGGCATTGTGAATTCCACAGAGCAACGGGGCACCGAACAGAAGAGTGCCGAGACCTGAGGTACGAAATAGAGGGCCTCATACAGCGAGGGCTGCTGGGCGAGTTTGTTCACGTAAAAA